AGCATAAATGAAATAATCATCAGTGCATGATAAAGCTCTAAAGAGCCTTTGCAATTGCTATTGTGAAAATACTCCCTACTCAGGAAACTCGAGTACAGTTAACACAGGATAGTGTTTGCATTTCCAATTTAACTCAAAAACAAGCATTCAAGGTTACTGCACATGCTTATTCAAATATACATGAATAGTTTTTGAGCAATTGTGTGTATTTAAAAATAAAGAGATAAAAACACGAGATCCTCGAAGCACGAGATAGTGAGACAGCAAACAGCCTTCATACTGAACTAATCGTATAATGCCCAACACCCCTGGGAGACAGCATAGATATGAGCAATGGTGCCTCGTAAACAAGTACTCCAAAAGTACAGTTAAATTGTACTTGTACTTTTTTTAAGCTGCTTTATTCTTGTTTCTAAGCTGCAGATCATGAATAGGTGCTTAGCGTCATCATGTTTGTAATTCATTGTTCACTTATCTGAGCAAAGCTCCCTTGAATATGTGCAGCGTGTTCAGAACGCTGCTGCGAGGCTTCTGACTGAGTCCTCTAAACCCTCTCATGTCACACTGATGCTGATCCAGCAGCACTGGCTCCACACTGAATTCAGAGTCCGTGTAAAAGATCTGGTTCTGACTTTTAGAGCTCTTCTTGAACAAGCACAAGCTTACATCAGTGAACTTTTATAGTCATATCTCCCCAGCAGGTCCCTCAGGTCTTGTAATCAGAGCTCAAAACTAAAGGGGACACAGTGCCCCCCCCCCTCCCCCCCACAGACATTACATTTGTTGTGAAGCACTTTGTGACCCTTGTCTTTAAAGGTGCTATATAAATATAATTTTACTCACTTTTTCTTTCGGCCGCTCCTTTCAGGGGTCGCCACAGCGGATTATCCTACTCTGTCACAATAACCGTCACCTCTTCACGTCCTCCTTCATCTTCTCATCTTCTCTGCAGCGCTCCTCCCTTCCTTCTTTCTCGAAGCTCCATCATCAGCGTCCTTTGTCCAGTATATCCACTGTCCCTCCTCTGCATTCAGATCATCTCAGCCTTGTTTCTCTAACTTTATCTCCAAACCTGAGCTGTCCCTCTCTTTCTTCTTCCTCATATTATTGCACCCTGCATTGCATATATTTTATTATTTTTGGAGATTTAAAAACATAAATCTAGTAAATATTACTTTACTATTATGGTTAAAGCTACCCAGTAGTATATAAGTCAATAAAGTAATATCTGGTTGCAATACTAATGAATCAGCAATTGTAATAAGGTTTAGGATTCTGTATAAGAAGTACTTTTACTTGAGATACTTGAACTTTGATACTTGTTTCTAATCTTATTAAAGACTACAGACTCCCTGAAATCTGCAAAGCTGCTACACTGATGAGTTTCAAATCCAACAGCAGTACAGGTGTTTGAACTGTGTTTTACTTCCACATTTTTAATGATACTAAAAGCTGTGAGGCAGTAGAAGCTGCTGCTGGGCTCCATCTTACAAAACTATGAAGTTCCTCAAATTAAAAAACAACTTTGAAAACTTTTCTCTTTAAAAAAAACTGCAGTGATAGTGTATTTGTATCTGGGCTAAATCAAGCAGTCGGGTCCCTGCAAACCACTTGCAGATGAAGAGTTTTTTTCTGTATTTCTCCCCTCAAACGCTCTCCCATCCAGCTGTGAGATCGTATCGATTCAACCCCACCGCAGATCTTTTGATAATCTTTTTATCTTGAGAAAGAAAAAAAAAGATACTCACTCACAGTAAAATCACAGAAACTTTTGGGAACATCAATAATGGATAAATACATGATTTTTTTCTGATCTTGACAAAACTTTCATATCCACAACAACTTAAAAAAAAAACTAAGGAGATAAGACGACAGATGGGGAGAATATTCAGATTTGTTTTTGACTCCGTGATTATATTTAATAAGAGGATAAGTTTTCTTCAGAGGGGTGGAACAAAGGAAAAGGAGGAAAAGAGGCAGAGGAGGGGGAGTATTAGAGGGTATGAAGATGAAGAGTTTTGGTCGGCTGCCTAGCCACAGCAGATCAATGAAAAAAATCAAGGAGACCAAAGAAACTGAACCTCCTGCTGCTCTTGGTAAGTAAGTGGACAGTAGGACTTTTTCCCAAGTATTGGTCTAATAAAATAAAACTAATTGAATTTAAACTTAAAATGTAAATAAAAGAACACAATATCAACAGTCAAACATGGTCCTGGTAGTGTGATGTTCTGGGGCTACTTTGCTGCTTTGAGTCCTGGAAACATGAATTCTGCCCTGAAGCTGGATCTCACTTGGGTTATGAAGCAGGACGATGGTCCAAAACACACCAGCAGGTCCACCTCAAAAAATTAAAACAAAATGAAGTTTTTGGAGTGGCTAAGTCAAAGCCCAGACATAAACCAACTTGAGAAACAAGTAGCTAGTAGCTTGGGGCTGACAATAATCGTGAGCTTTTAAGAGAAGTGGACTAACTTTGACGTCCAATCAGGAATCTTTCTGATCCTGCTGTGGAAACAAATGCGAAATTTTATCCAAACACTGGCTAACAGGTGGTCTGCTTCATTTATTTATTTTAGGTTTTAAGTCTGTATGGTTGACGAGGAATCTCTTCTTCCTGAGCTGTTTTTCATCCCCTAAATAGACACGCTCCTGATCAATACCATCAATACATTGTGTTCAGTAAGAAACTGATCAGACAGTTGGAGTGAGAAACCAGGGAAGGAGGAGCAAAAAAAGATGCTATGTGATAAATGGTCGCGTTTCTGATGAAGGACTCAAGGTCAAAGGTCAAAGCCACCTGGAGGTTTGATCTATAGCCTGAGAAATGACCAGAGGGAGAAACACACAGACATGATGTCCATATTTTATACAGAATATTGTGATATCTTAGTCCGTGAGGCTCTAGTTATGCACTATTGCATATAACCTAACCTTGAGTCTTTGTGGTGGTTCTAAATGTCTAAATAATCATTCTAAGTGGTGGTTTCCAAATCTCTTTTTGGGGTCTCAAGTCTCTGTGGTACGTCTGGGTGCCTTTGTGGTGGTTGTATATCTCTGTGTAGCATTTCTAAATGTTTCATAGTGGTTCTAGCTCTCTATGTGGTGTTTTTGACCCATGTGAAGAACAACAAGTTCCTAACTTTATAAAATAAAAACATCAAATCAGTGATCCTCCTTTATAATTATTTTCCAGGTTGAATTATTTCAGACAAATAAACAAAACAAAACAACCAATTCCTCAAAAGCATATAACCATTTACCTTGCAAGTGGTTATTGGACATTTTGCCTAAATCCCTTAAATAAAGTTTTAAGATTTAATTCGCATTTTCTGCAAAAACACTTAAAAGTGTTTTAAGCAACAACAAAGGTAAAAGAGAGAAAGCTCATCTGATTTCAGTCTTTACTGTCTCCCTGTTCATTTTTAATAGTTAAAAGTGAATTATTGAGCACACGCTTAACTTTTACAAGCAGAACTTCAACTTTAATCATTTTTCACGTTTAAATTATGAACAGACTTCATGTTTTTAGTGTAGATGAGATGAAAAAAAAAAGAGTTTGGAAGTCCAAAAGATGGAAACAGAAACTGTCAGAGATCAGAGGGAGATCGATCTGCTTCTCTGTGATCAGAAACTTGTTAGGCAGGTCTTCCCTGAGCTCATCATGGTGTGTGTATGTGTGTTCACCTCCTCATTAAAATAAATTTGTTTAATGACAGAAAGAGACAAGATGCATAAATATTTCAGTATCTTTAATGCAAAGATTAATGTTAATTTATATATATTACATTAAGTTAAAGGGACTCTGCTTAACCTTAGAAAACCCCACAAGTGGCAGATATGTAGCCTAAGTAAGCTAAAGCTAGCTGACCATATGTGTCGATTACTGTAAAGCAAATATTCGGCATCTTACAGCTATACATTTTCACTTTAAAATCAGTGTTTTTTGCATCCATCCTGTAAAATGCTGCCATCTTGTGGCTACAACCGGTTATTGTCTCTTGAAGCAGGCTTAACTCTGCTTGTGTGTCCCATAAACTAATGGTGGAGCTACATAAGCTGAGAGGGAAGCAGCTTCCTCTGGTTGTGTATTGTGGATAAACCTCTGGGCCCGTATCCCTAAAGATTCTGAGAATCCTCTCAGAGAGCTCCTAACTTAACCTAAAAATTCCTTGCCAGGAGTTTTAGCTTAGAAGTGATTCCAGAACATTTTCAGTGAACTCTGAGCAAGGAATGGATGGAAAGTCCTATCTTAGTGAGGAGGTGTGGTTGACCCCGTTGCTAGGTATGAGTCATCATTTCAAAAGCCGTGATTGGTTGATCCTACAAGTTTGATGGAAATGAGCTTTTGGTGATAATGAGCAAAGTATGTACCCTCACATCAAGAAACATAATTATACACTCTAATCTTATGCTGACTGTAATTGTAAATAATATTTCACATTCAAGAAAATATCTGGAAAATGAATAGTAAGCTGTAGGGGTTATGGCCTAACATTAGAATCTAAAATATGTGAAAACTTAAACTCATTACACCCTGTTCAAATAATGATTCGTGTCTTATTTGCTCATATTAATATCCTAGCTGACATATTTTGTACTTTCACTCCCATATGGATCCCGTTGAAAACAAGATGGCCTATCTCAAGAGGCTGTCCTTAATGAAGTAGAAATCACAACGTTACAAGTCCAGTGTGGTCTTAACGAGGGTAACACGGCTCAGCTTTTAGCAATGTCTGTGATTGCTGGCTGGTATATTTATAAAGGCTTGTTAACAAATATCCTACAAACACAGAAAATGGAGGGAAAAAAAAGGACTCGCAAGCCGAACTGGACTGAGGAGCAAGGTTTGTTGCTGGCCCAGTTGGTGAACGAACATAAAGGTATGTTACGAGGAAAATTTGGCCCAACTGTCACTAGCCAAGGCAAGAGGCACGCCTGGGACACAATATCAGGATAGCCCGGCGGATCAAACACCATTCCCATCCGCAGCACCTGCTCCGTCAGCATCCCTGCAGGAGAGCAGATTGCAACTCACAATTGATGTGTTTGAACAACAAAAAAAAAGTCCTTTCCCTTCAGGAGGAGTACTACCGCCTTAAAATTGAACACCTAAAAAAGAAACCATTTACAGATTGTGTTCTGTGTCTTGCATTTAACAATTGCAGGTGATGTGCAGTAAAACTGTGGTAGTTCTTAATACCATCACAACTTCTCAAAAGACATGGGGCTACAGCTTGCCTGAAATGTAAATTTGTAAAGTTTGCCCTGTAAGGCAGTCCACTCTGGGCTAGGTTCCCCTGTGGAATGTAAATATCTTCTTCACCACCATCCTCATCGTTGTCTTCATCCTTATCGCCATCCTCCAGAGGTTCTGCAATCTGTCTAACCTTGCAAATATTGTGTAATATTGCACAGGCTATGATGACTTTGCTGACTTTTTCAGGCCTCAGCTGCACCTCTCTGTGGAGAACATGAAAGCGCCTCTTAAGCTGGCCTATGCCACGCTCCACCACCGCTCTTGTTGTCTTGTGGGCCCTACAATAGAATACAGAGACCTTTAATTATTTGATGGAAATATTGCACTACTTGGATGCTCTAACATATTGCTTACATTTCATTTCCATGATTTTTGTATTGTTTGGCTTACCTGTTATAGTTTAGTTGGGGCCCTTGGTGTGGCTGGAGGTAAGGTGTAAGGAGCCATGGTGTGCATGGGTAGCCACTGTCCCCTAACAAGTGGCAATTAGCTGGCACATAGCGTCTCTCAAAAAGCTGTCTGATGCCACTCTCGGAGAGCATTCTCGCATCATGTGTGGAGCCTGGCCATTTAGCCACAATGTCCAAAATCTTACAGGCCGCATTGAAGACTATTTGCACATTGATGCTGTGGAAATGCCTCCTGTTAACAAAGACAGCCTCGTCCTCTGATGGCGCAGTTATTCTCACATGTTTTCTATCAATTACACCCACAACGCCAGGGAATCCTGCAATGTCCATAAATGCCCTTTTATGTGTGTGTAAAGTGCGGGCATCCAGCGGGAATTAAACAAATTGTGTCACAATATTAGGTTGTGACAAAGCTGTCAGTGTTTGGGTGATGACTCTGCTGACAGAGGATTGG